GAATATTGTTTTAGCAAATAGACTCTATGGCTCAGGCAAGTTAATACATAAAATTAACCATCACACTAGGCTAGTGAGATTTTTATCTTTATTGATATTTATACTATCTGAATTTCTTTATTTAAACTTTAAAAGGTATGTATACACATGTGCCATTACAATATCCCCAAAGGAAAGAGAAATATTGGCTGACAGTACTATAATTTGACTTTTTTTTTTAATCACTGTGTCTGGGAAGTCCAAGACTGAATGTGGATTCTGTTTTAGCAACAGAGTCTAGTGGCTTTGGATGATGGTATCGTTGGAAAATACTTATAAATAAGCAAACATAGAGATGCGAATTTTCATTTTAAAGGAAGAATCTTTAGGTGTACATAATAATGGAGAGCTGTAAAATTCACAAGATATTTCAAAGAATGGGACTTGAGTCTCCAATTAAAAAAAAATAAGACACTACTGTCATTTTTTGGAATAATGATAATAATGGATAACATTGTTTCAAATGCTTTATTTGCATAATCCTCAGAACAATTATTCTGAACCTCCAAATAAGGACACAAAGTGTAGAATGGCTAAGTAATCTGCCCAAGGTCAAGAAGCCCACAAGTGCTAGGAAGTCCCTGGGAAAAGAAGAACTTTGCCATCAAGTATATTGCTCTTGAACCCAGTGTCCAATTCCTCCTGACAACATCCCTGCCTTTGGGTGAGGGACTTCAGGTATCTTCCTTCTGAGCCTTTCCATGTCACTGCCTAGATGTTCAAGGATCTGGTAGTCTCAGAGAAGCTGGAATTTTTATATGGCAGCTGGCTTTCCTGAGAACTAAAGATCTTAAGGCTAAATTTCAGAACTGGTGCAAAGTCACCTCCTTGGAATTCTGTTAGTTAAACTGATAACAGAACTTGCCCAGATTCATAGGAGGAAATCACACAAGCAAATAAGTTCTGCATGATGTATTTCAGGCCACCAAGATTAAAGCCTACCATGCACACACACAATTTGTACAATAATTTCAAGAGGGATGTATACCCCACAAATCCATTTAGGAAACCTAAGGAGTAGATGGCCTTCAAGTTAAGGATCAAGCAAGGGGACACTTTTACCCAAATAGTCTAGTGTAGAGAAGAGAGGAGACAGTTCTCGATATAAGGGGAATTTACACATGCGCAGTGCATTGATGGAGGTTTGTTGTATGTTTCAGGGGACAGTGAGCGATCAGTTAACTAAAAATCTTGAAATGAAGGTTGAAATCAGATTATAGAATATTTTCAAGGCAGCCTGTGGAGCCTGAACTTCATTCACTAGACATTAGGGAACCATTGCACATGGCTTTTTAAACCAGGCATAATGAGCACACATACTGAAATAATTCAGGAGAATTATAAGAATTAAGAAATAAGGAGGATGCTGTAGAGGGAATTATGGTAAGGAGCTTTATGAGTTTGTGGGGTTTTGAATCAGAAGTCAGTATTAAAGTCAGGACTAACAAAATCACCCTATTGAAGAATGTAGGCATAAAAATTTACTGTAGAAAAGGGTTTTGTAGTACATGATATAGCAAATATATAACAATATAGAGAGCATTATATATTGAGTTTTCTTTTGTATGACTGGATTAACAAAGAGCTTAGTTCATCTGTATGGCTTCAATTGATATGAAAAAAAAATCAAACTGTACATTTGAAAATTCTTTTCTACCCAGAGTTAATAGTGTTCTAGGGTGTTGCAGTAAAGGGTAATGCATGTAAGATTAAGACATACTAATTTGGGTCCATAAGAATAAAAAGGACACCTGTGTGAATAGAGCAAACTTTGAATGTTAGCCAGTTACTTTTCACTAAGGAGGAATGTTAAGCCCCCAGTAAAAATTCAAAAGGGCATAAAACCATGAGTAGTTGTTCAATTTCTACTTGTCAGTCCATGAAATTGAGAAGACCGCCTCACTTTGACCCTAAAATGATACTCGCAATAGTATTACAGGATATAAAAAAGGGTTTCAGTGGGAGGGCAGACATGTTCATGTTTATTTCAAGGGTAAAACTTCTTTTGCAAACTTGAATCTGCTGCTTTATGAAGCCATCTTTGTTGGTCTTCTTATCATCAAGCTTTTGATTCTGTACTTAAGAGTCTTTGCCAGGTGATGGGGATGGATTTGTGCTGAAGCTGTTCATGTTTACATTGGAGCTTTATAAGGTTTACTGGCCAATATTTGAGGGATTGGACAGGATGGAGTTGAGAGTTGAGAGTGTCATCCAGGGATGTGGAGTTGCTCAGTCAGTAGTGCCACAGGGGTTTCTCAATGTGAGTAATTCTTGAACTATAAAAAAAAAAAAGAAAAGAAAAAAAGAGTATTTGTATGTCACATACAAAAATTTTCATTTAATTGTTAAGGGATATTTTGGAATAGGGAATTGTGTGTGTGTAGGGGGGTGAGGTTATCTTTCTTTTTTGAACTTTATTAAGGAATAACTGCCAAATGTAATCGTATACATTTATAGTGTGTAAGGCATGATAATTGGATAAACTGATATATTTAGAATGATTTGCAAGATCAAGATAACTGGAAATTTGTACCCTCTGTCAGGAGCTACTGCTTTATACTCTTTGCTTCTTCGTACTGGGCTCTTGCCTGTTGAGCTAATCAGCCATGGCTCCTGCTTTTGTGAGTGCCAAGTTACCTGGGATAAACTAGCCTCAGGCTCCTATCAGGAGGTAGAGGATGGCTGTAATAAATGCTGTGTCTTTGGTATCAAATTGTTGGCATGGAAAATGCAGACACCACTGGAATAATGTCTTAGGGGGCTTTCAGCTTTGTGCTCGCCTAACATGAGGTCCCTGTGGTGGAGGCCAGGCAAACATCAACCTGAGAAATTCAGTGACAACACTTGACCTAAGAAAGAAAGAAAACAAAGAAAAGCACAGCTTTCTGATTTTCACTCCATGCACCCTCGTGTTGGTGGGTTGTATGTTTTGTCCTCTTGCACTTGATTCAGGGAGCTCCATCCTCCTTTTCCGAGCAGCACAGCATTATCACGTCTGGATCTCTATCCTCTCCTCGGCTATTTATAATTATCACTTCCTTGTTGCAACGCATAGCTTCTGGCCCTCAATCTGCTAATGGCGCTTTTAAGCTCTAATTCCATTTTGGCTGTTCTGTGCTGAGTCTGGCCTTTCACCTCTCAAATCTGTGTTTTCAACACAATATCCACCAGCTAGCATTTTAATCAACCCATCTCTCACTTTCTCTCTCGATCCTCACATCTCTCCCCTTATAATCCTATCTCATCTCTTTTTCTAACTTTCAACAACCTAAATACAGCCTCTCAGCCAAAAGTCACATTCAATAACTTTATGTTTCCATTCTTTATATTAGAACACACTTTTTTTTTCTCACTTCAACAGCAGTAGCCTTTATGCTGACATAGCAAGAGCTTTGTTCTCAGTATCTAAGAGCTACAAATAAATGTGTGTCTGTCTATGTATATATGTAGCGTGAGGGGGAGAGAGAGAGGTTTTATATGTACTGAAATATGGACAAAGATAATGGTCTGTGCCGGATTCGAAAACTAGTTAGACAATCTGTCTTGACTTTGGTTGAAAACTTTTGGTCCTGAATTGCCCTCTTGGGGATTGAATCTATTCAAATTGATCTTTTCTATGAGTAGGCACATCATTTTAGAAATGTTTCTGTGAAGATGTGCTGTTTTCATGCTTAGGGAAGCACACCGCGTGCTGAGTGAGTCCGAAGGAAATGCCAAATTAATTCATTATTTCCGTGGCAATGTTCTTTTCCCAGGAAAGGACTGCTTTAATAAGGCAGGTGGCTGTGTGTGCCATGGTGTGCCTGCCTCTGTAGGAACCTTGGTAATCCTCTCCCCGGAAAAGCCAGCTCTGGTGTTTGCTATGTGAGGCTCTTGAATGTAATATTAGTTTACAATCCCACTCCTGGCCACATTATATAAACAGTGGGGGAAGAAATGACAATGGAAATTATGGCAGAGAACACTTTCCTTAAGCCTTTCAAAATGGACACGTTGTGCACGGCTGTGGGTCTGTTTTCAGCACCCTGCCTGAAGGAGTGAATGGCTTCTGTTTCCACTCCAAAACAGGCGACGGTGGGGCCACTTCAAACCATCAGCCCAACAATGTTATCCAGCCGCTGAGTCCCTGCTTCTGTCAGTAAGCCATCATTATTCCTCATGAGCCAACTGCAGGAGAGGGACACTGCGACAAATACACTATTATGTTGCATTTTAATGTGTGCCAATCAGCTTAATTCTGGCCCTGACATTCGTCTCAGGTACTGCCCTTTTCTGCCACAGATGCCTGCGTGCTTCCTTCAGTTGCAGTTCCCAAAGGCCCCCCGAGAGCATGGAGAGGCACCCCGAGAGGTCACCGACAAAGATATAAAAAGGAACTAAATTCGTGGGATGGTTGAGCTTTTGTGCATTAAGTTCCATGATCTATTTCAAAGTCCTGCTGATATAGGTGGTTGAGCAAGCTGCACATTTGAGATGAGATGCTGAGATGCCAATTCAGCCATAATGAACTTCTGCTGCCAGAGTTCACCCAAAGTCTATTGAGCCTTGAGGACTTGTAGGGCCTGTGGGACTTAATTTTTTCTCACTAGAGAATGGTGTGAAATATGGATGTGATGTTGGCTATCTTGGCGTTTAGCTTGGGTTTGGGGACCTGCAAGTTTCTGTATCTCAATCCAACATGGCTGCCACCTGGATGCTGTGGTGACTGGGTTGTAGGTCTGGGTCTCAGTGACCTGTCTTTCTAGCAGAGACAAGAGAGTCAGTGCTTGTACTAATGTTTCTATGCCACCACATCTATTGCACGGGGGGAGAGTTTGTCAGAATCAGTACCCATCACATTCTAAAGATCTGAATGTATAAAACAAAACTGAAAGAAACATATTTTGGTTAACTAATTAAACTACAACTGTTGTCACTTAGACAAATGGGCTTTTTTAAAACAATGACCTTGACTTTCTTAAATATGTTGACTTCCTTGAGCTTGTCCTAGGCAGCTTTATGTCAATAGTCTCTTAGCTCTCGCTCTGTTAGTGAATCTCTTTAGTCCATGGTTTCCAACTGCTGTGATGATATACAAGGAAAAGAGAAAAATATGAACAATGTGGTGAATTTTTCTTAAAGGTAGATTTATGAAATTTAAGTTCTGATTTTTTATTTTTTAGGTTGTGACTTTACTGCTTGAAGTCAAATTGTCCTTTCTCTATGAAAAGTCAGTGACAACACATAATTTTTCTTTTAATACCCTAACTTGAAATAATGAAGTTTACTGTCTGTGGTAGCATATTCGATTTGTCTATTCATCTAACTGCCTATTTTTAATACATTTCTCTGGTTCTTATAATCTAGAAATCTAGGAACTACTGTTTCACCAAATGCATAACAGATTCCTAGGATAAAGATTCAAAGCATCTGTGGGCATTTCCAACTGCTAAACAATAACAAATCAAACTAAAACAAAGAGCCAATTACCTAGTGATATGAGATGTAAACCTGTAAAAAAAAAATCACATTGTTTTTTGTTCTAATTACCTATGCTCTACTCACCTGCTACATGATCCCTTCAGTCCTCTTTCCTATCAAGTATCTAGCTGGTAGAATCTTACCAGTTAATGTATATCAAACATAGTTCTTATATGTGCACTGAAGTGCACATTTTAAAATGTGTGGCCTTTGGGCCTCCCCGGTGGCGCAGCAGTTGAGTGTTGGGTTGCGAAGCTGCCCGCAACCTCTGCAGCACCGGTTCGATTCCCGGCTGCTCCCCGGCCTCCGGAGGAGGGTCCCACATGGCACGCAGACTTCTTCTGTCGCCCGCTGCTCCCCTCAGCAGTGTACTTCGGTCCTTCTGCCCGCTCTGCTCCCCGCTCTGGCTCTGGTGAATTCTCTCACCCTCCCGCGCTTCTGACTGTACCCAGTGCTCGTGTAAATAAATAAATAAATCTTAAAATAAAAAAAATAAAATGTGCGGCCTTTGACAAAAACATCTGATGTAGACTTTTAAAGTGACCACATTACCTACTATTTTAAACTTCACTTTTAGAATACTGGGGCCAAGGTTTCAAAAAAGGTTCTAGTGTGATTTCTTAGTAATGGCCGTCTGTGCTTTTGAGCTTCCACCAGGTATTACATAAGACAATTTGAATCTCTCCAGCATGATTGCATGAGCTTCCATGATATGACAGAATATCTCAGTCACATTACATACCCAAATCATATGCTTGGTTTTTTGATAAGCATATCTTAATGTCAGCCATTAAAATAATCACATAGATAATTCTTTGATGTTCTGTATTTATTATCCTTTGTTACATGAAAAATTTATATACATTTAGCAGCTGCAAACAGCACATATCACATCACAGTTTTTGTGTGTTGGGCACTGCAGCTGAGTCCTCTCCATCAGGGGCCCCCAGGAGCTGCCATCAAGGTGCTGGATTAGGACTAGGTCTCATCTGATAGGTCCATTGTGGAAGGATTTGCTCCCAAACTTGTGTGTTTGTTGGTAGAATTCTGTTTCTGGAGGGTTGTAGAATGAAGAGCCTCAGTTCCTAGCTTATTCTTAGCTGGAGACCACCCTCAGTGCTTTATCATATGGGACTCTCCAAAATGGTTATTTGCTTCATCAAAGCATGCCAGTTGAGAAGGCAAAAGAGATTTATTTAGCAAGACTGAAGTTACCATCTTCTGTAATAAGATCAGGGAAGGGACATTCCAACCCTATGCCCCAGTTTATTGGCTAAAAGCAAGTCACAGTGTTAGGGGGAAAGGATTCCTTGTGCAAACTCCATACAGGTTTTGTGGACTCCACCCCCACTCCATCAACACACTGGGAACTACAAATCTCATGATCCCCAATGGGAGGTTGCGAGGACCTAAGGGCAGAGTTAAGCAGCCATTTTCTCTGCTTGTGTTTGTAACCAGCCATGTGAGTGGGGCTCACTCTTTTGGTTTACTCTCTTGGCCAGGCAGTGCTTGGTCTAGGTGGGTCATTTGGGATTTCAGGTCAGCAGAACAGGTAGGACACATTTAAGAATTTATCTCCCTCTTTTTCTCCCTGAATTATTCATTTCCTCATTTCCCCTTTCCTTGTAAATAAACCTTTGATTAACCTTTTGTGTGTGCCTACAGTTTAAGTCCCCTTTAAGTGTGCAGGTGAGGACCCACAGTCAGGCAACCCATTTTATATCGGGGTTGCCCTGTAACAATAGGTCTTACTCACACTCTAGGTGAGGGGACTGCATAAGGGCAGGGATAGCAAAAGGCAGGAATAGGTGTAGGCCAGCTCAGAGTCTGTCACACTCTCTTGGAGATAATGAAACCTAGGAGCCGTGCTACTTCCTTGTTCCTATTCCTTCTTAGAGAAAAGAAGTTTTTGAGTTGTCTGAGGGAATGAAATAATGAAGGGTCTGAATTATAGAATAGTATAATGGAATGTAATTTTACTACTTAGAGACTATCTTAAAATTAGTGCAAATAAAGTATTATTGAAGAAGGATCTTATCTAGCATTCTTTAATAACTAACAGATATCTCTTTAAAATTAACATTTGTTTTCATCCCAGTCAATAATTAAGAAAGTGTTTGCTATTTTTTCAGTGCATGATACATATGGTATGGAATACAAATTGATTATGATGAGGTTTGCTCTCTTAGAATACCTGTATTTAGAAGCAAGGGGAATAAAACATACACAACTATAACAGCGACCTAAATAAATCATACAATCAAATGCCAAATGCATTAATAAACTGTCAAGTATATGGCCTCAGGAAGAGAGAAATCAATATTAGGTGAAGTGACTAAAATAATTCTCAGGGAAAGTATAACTTGAAAGAAAGGAGAATATAAAGAGAAAGTAAAGGAAGGAAGGAAGAGCCTGGAACTTAATGAGAAGACTAAAGAACCTGTATCTTCAGTGAAGGAAATGGGGAGCAATGAAAAATAAAGTCAGACGAATATTGAATGCTGGAGCGAGGGCAGTAACTTCATGGGCAATGGAGAATGATTCCATTTTCAGCACAAGATAAAAGTAGTATTTGGGGAGATCTGTTTGGTGGCTATGTGCATGATAAATAACATGAAAGGAGTCTGGAAAAGAGAGATTTATGGTTATAGAAATCTGGACTAGGATAATAAGTGGAAATGATAAATAGAAGCAATTTTATGATGAAGGTTGCACAGTTTGAAGAGACTGACTAGATATATGACTAGTGGCAGAGTCTTTTCTCCCCATTGAAGTGGACAACATCTTGGCAACTAAGGAGCTGGTTAGCATTCCTGCTGATTATTTGGTTGTACTAACTAGTTGGTGACTCTTGGTTTTGATTCCTGGGATATTTATTTATTCAAAAAGGCCTCAAAAATCTAACAGCTAGTAAAAGTTATTCACACTTTAGACATTATTACTGGGAGACCAAGAGGGACACTCTTATATGTTGTTCATATCACATCATCTATGTGATCCTGTTCAGGCTATAACAATGCTCTCTTTCTAAGATGTTCCACAAACCAGCAGTTTCCATCATATTTAACAGATTTTCAGGTAACACACACACATACACAGATAGCCCATAAAAACCCAAAACTATATCTAAGTTGTAGAAAGTTCCATGCTCAAATAAGTTTGGGAAGTCCTGAGTTAAAATTCAAAATACTCAAAAGATAACATTGCTAATAAATCACCAAAGGAATGTGGGGGGAGCTATAAACAAGAATCTCCCAAACTTCTTCATTTATGGAACTGTATGTGTGTGTGCACTTGTGTGTGCACTGTCTTTAAGACCATTGTGATGCCCAACACACTTGGTAAATGCCAGGGTGTTAGCAAGTTTTCACTTAAGTCAACAGTTTTTAAGAAATAAATTTTTTGGTAATCATCTTAATTTGTTTTTTTTTTTTTATAACTGCATTGTATTTTATTTTTTTAAAGATTTATTTATTTTTATACAAGAGCTAGGATACAGGCTAGAGGTGCAGGAGGGTGAGAGGATTCTCCAGAGATACAGCAGGGAGCAGAACAGGAAGATGACTGAAATATACTGGTGAGGGGAACAGCAGGTGAGACAGGAGCGGTCTGCCGCACTGTGTGGGAATCTCCCTGGCAGGCTGGGAATTGGACTGGTGCTGCAGAGGCTGCAGACAGCTTCACAGCCCTGTGTTCAACCTGCTGTGCCACCAGGGAGGCCCTATAACTGCATTTTTTTAAAAGATTTATTTATACAAGAACCGGGGTACAGGCCAGATACGCGGGAGGATGAGAGGATTCACCAGAGACAGAGTGGGGAACAGAATAGGTCGACTGAAGAAATACACTGCTGAGGGGAGCAGCAGGCGAGACAGGAGAGGTCTGCTGTGCCATGTGGGACCCTCACCTGCAGGCTGGGATCGAACCCACACTGCAGAGGCTGTGGACAGCTTCACAGTGTGGCACTCAACCACCTGCGCCACCAGGGAGGCCCTATAACTGCATTTTAAAACTATTCCTTCTTGGACCTCCCTGGTGGTGCAACGGGTTAAGTCTCAGCACTATGAAGCTATCATCAGTCACTGCAGCACAAGTTTGATCCCCTGCCAGGGAGCTAACCCACATGGCGAAGTACACCTCTCCTGTCTCACCCGCTGCTCCCCTCAGCAGTGTACTTCAGTCAATCTGCCTATTCTGCTCCCAACTCTGTCTTTGGTGAACGCTTCACCTCTCCATATCTCTGGCCTATACCCCAGCTCTTGTATGCATAAATAAATATTTAAAAAATATAAGATAAAACTATTCTTTTTCAATATAACCTATGCCAGAAATTTGGAAGGAAGGAAGAAAAAGAAGAAAGGAGGAATAGAGAGAGGAAGGAGGATTACTCTTTTGTTTGATATTTCTTATGTTTTCAGGAAAAGTCTAGGAAGGTAAATGATAGGAACTAAGGAAGTCACTGCAATGTCAAGTCACTGGTTTTCAAAAATGCTTTCTTTTAGTACCTTTATTCTTTTTTTTTTTAAGATTTATTTATTTATTTATTCATTCATTCATTCATTCATTCAAGCACTGGGTACAGTCAGAAGCGCAGGAGGGTGAGAGAATTCACTAGAGCCAGAGCGGGAACAGAACAGGCAGACCGATGAAATACACTGCTGAGGGGAGCAGCAGGCGCGGCAGGAGAGGTCTGTTGCACCATGTGGGACCCTCGCTGGTGGCCGGGGATTGAACTGGTGCTGCAGAGGCTGTAGGCAGCTTCGCAGCCCAGCGCTTAACCGCTGCGCCACCAGGGGAGGCCCTTAGTACCTTTATTCTGTAAGCCAACCTGGTGCTAAGTTTTATTGGATCTTTCTCCAGTTGTGGGACCTTGGAGAAGTTCTCAGCTCCCTCCATCTGTTCTCTAAATTTTTCTCCCTGTTAATTTTTATTTTTGTAGTCTTAGAAAAGAGTTTCCATGGGAAGAACAAGTAACCCTTTAAATTAATAATTTGAAATGTATTTAAGCTTTTAGTGAAGCTTCCATTGAAAGATTGTATTAAATCCAGATTCCAAATTATCAGTTCCAGGATGCTAAGAGAAGCAATTATAAGAGGTGGTGGTTGGTAAATAGATTGGTGTTGGCCCGAGGTGTTCAATTGACCTACTTTATTAAACATATTCTCACCTGCGTTTGTCATTCAAAAGGTGCAATTTTGTTTTGCACGGCTGTGTCATAGTTGAAAATGCTTTCTATGTCCATGTCATGTCATGTTTATGCTTCATTTGCGAGGTTGCTAACATGACTCAGGTTATTTAACTTTTTGTATCTGTCTCAGGGTTGGAGAAAGAGAAAGCGTGAGAGAGAGCGAGTTAGTTATTGGTAGGATACAAAAATGTTTATGGTTCTAATTTCTTCATCTTAAATTAAAACTCAGTGCTATATAACAAAACTACAAAGTCATCCTTGCAAAGCCCACATTATGGGGATGTCATTGCTATTGGAATTCCTTTTATTTTTATCCTGGAATAGTTTTGCTTGGAACATATGCATTGGAGATAATTTTGGTGATATTGTAGAGAAAGCCATGACGGTGGATGAAGTTGCCCACGCATGATTGTACTTTTGTGTCAAATATAACTTCTGAGAATGTAGTTCTCTGCGAGATTCTTGGTGGTTCAAATTTGTTTACCTAGTTGGATTTGTTAATACCAAGAGAGGGTAGTTCTGATGTGTGGAAAGCTGAACTTAGTCATAGTGTTGTTATTTATTGAACACCTATGTGTGAGGTGATGACAATGCAACAGGAAGCTAAGGCAGTAGATGAATCTTTGGTTTGGCTTCGAGAACAACACAGAAATTCTGTTGTCCCCTCAGAGGCACATACTAGGTTCTAACTCATTTTTAAAATGCTGACTTTTTGTCATCTAGCTGCTCCTCTGAACGAAAGTTGTTTCTATAGTGCTGTGTCTTGTGAGGATAAAAGTTCTTTAATTATCAGCCACTCAAAGAACTAATGTACTGTATCCATTTCTGGGTTATTGGAGCTGCCCTTTCCTCTGCCCGTCCCTCATTGCTGCTGCCTAGCTAAGGAGCAGCTCAATGCCCATTCACATTCTCCAGTTTAAAGTTTTCACATGCATCCCACCCGTAGCCTTTCAGTCCTAATTAAAATGCATCTTAACTTTTAGATTTCTAATTTATTGAGTTCAAGTTCTGTCATTTTACGAGTCTACCTCTGTGAAACCTTCTTTGACCTTCCACCCATCCCAAGTACAGCCGACCACTCTTGCTAGTCTTCTCTGCCTCTATTATACTCCCATCACAAGAATGGCATTTAATTATTTAGGTGTTGAACTCACAGAGCACAGGAGCTATATATTAATCATCTCTGTATTGCTCTCACATAGCACAGAGTCTGAATCATAAATATTAGCTGAATTGGTCTGAACAGGCACAAAAAATAAAGCTGCCAGGAATCACAGATAGGAATGTATTTCAGGCCAGCCTTTACCTAGTCTCCAAGCCACCATGTACAAAACTGGGAAGGGAACCATGTAGGTGAAAATGAATTTGGAGAAATCTAGCCAGTGTAGCCACAACTCTTAGAAGAGAAGAGAACCTTTTCTGGCTTCTTTTGGTAAATACTTGCCAGGAAAACATAGCAGGCAATTGTTTCCAAAGGTTCACACAAAAGTAGGAAAATTTAAATATATTTAGTGGCTGGTAAATATTTATTTTTTAAGCATATGAAGACAGAAGTTGTTGAAGCTGAATGTGTATGCTGAGAAAATGCAGAATTTGCCCTTTTGACAACCTGCTATGAATTTTAACAATATTCGAAATATTTTATTGCTAATTAGCCAATTTGATATTTGGCTGCTGCCTTGGGGAATTTACAATGACCTATTAACAATTTAACACTAGACCAATTAGGTAAAACTTTCAGCTTCCTGGAGATGCCTGAGCATGTTATAGAAGGAAATGATGACAACACACTAGGTAACCAAAGCCTTCCTCTCCCCTACCTAGGATGCACCTGGCTACACTTCCCAAGAACACAAGTCTGCGGTGAGCATTAAAAGCCTTCCCCATGTTGCTGGAGGTGGTGGTGTGATGAGGAAGGGGAAAGGAATGGAGGCTGGTGGGGGAGGACTTTCTAGCAAGCTCAATATCTCTCGCCCCCCTTCTCCTGCCTCCTTCCTCAGTTACCATGCTGCTGTGTCAAATTACATGAAGGCACACTTTCTTTGACCTAAAAAAGAGAGACCTGTGATTGTAAATCAGGCTGAGGGGTATTAGGTGGCTACTGGGGCCTACACTCTGAGAATTACTGATCCAGGCACAAGTTCTATCTTTTTCTGGCATTTGAACTCTGAAGTGGATATTAAAGTATCTCAATCTCTCAATTAGGTGAACTTCATGAAATAACACCAATAATTTAAGACTTCTAATTTTATTACCACAATGTGGGGGAAATACGAGTTTATAAAACATACCAAGCCCTTTGACCTCTTATGTCCAAAATGTATTATAAATGTATAGTATCTATTATCTCTCCAATTAACTCTGACATCCCAGTGTCTCTAAGTTGGTTGAAATCATCATCACCTTTCTTCTGGAAGAGTCCATATTATAAACTTAACTACCATCTTTCTTCATGGGATTTGTCCTGGGTTGACCATCTTCGTATTATATTCAAGACTGATGTACTTTGAGCTCCTTTGTGGGCTTGCCAAGATTCTTTTCAATATAAGGGTCCTGTAATTAAGGCTGGGAGGTATGGTGTTGACTAAGTGCCCTGCAGATTGCTCATTAACATGCCATCTGAACAATTTAATAACCTTTTTAATTAATCCAAAATTGGCATGTCCCCCTTCAGGCTACAGTGCAGCTTTTGCAAGAGTTAGTCTCTTGGTAGTTCTCAATTTAGCTTATTATTTGAAACTTAAATCTGCCCAGGCTAATGAGCGTGACCAATTCCTCTTACCAAGACCACATAGGAGTCTCCATCTGCACTTCACTAAAGGATGAGAGGACCAGATGTCTTGGGGTAATATTATGGTTCTTGGCATTTCACAGAAGTTGCCATCAGTCTAGAGATAAAAGAAAATAATTTTTAGAGTACTTAAAGATCACTTTTCCTTTTTTTAATTTATTATTTCACTTTTTCACATTCAGGTTTGACATTTTAGAATCTTTGGTCCTTCTTCCTTTGCTGCTAGATATAATGTGAAATAACTTGCTGGTCTTTGGTACTTTGATACTTTGAAGGCATAATAGTTTTGGAAGAAAATCCTAATAGATTAAGGTATGCCAGATTTTGCCAAGGTTGAGCTTGTACTTTTTTAATTTTTTAATTTGGGAAGATAGGACTAGAAAATGTTCTTTAAAGTCTGAATAAGGGGTTTCTGGGTATACATTTCATTTGGCTACCATCTCTAGTATTTGATTCAGTTTTGCTCCAATCAAATAAAAGGTCACCTCTCTTAAAATACCCTGGTTGTTTCTGGAGGACTTAAATGAATGCCTCACATAGGCCAGCTCTTTCCTGCCTGTTACTCACTGCAGTCTACCCATTTCATTCTCCGTTTTTGTTTTTTTTTTTACTTACTTCTGCCTGGGACAAAATGCCCTCAGCTGCTATTACTGAAAGTACCAACCATCTATTCTTACAACAAACTAAGCTGAGTACTTACATGTACCAAGTGCTAGACTGGAAAATCATGACTCCACAATCTTTGCCAACAATGGAGCTGAAGTTCATTTAGAGGGGTAGACTCCCCTCCCCCTAATTAATGGCACCCATTGACACCAGTGCTTTAAAGCAGTCTGGCTCATGTCCTCATATTTATAAAAATCTTTTATATCATGTCCTCATGTTCATAAAAATCTTTTATAAGTAGCCACTACCTCTTGCAAAACAAAGGAGAGTTTGAAGTATAGGTTCTGCTTATAATCGCTCCATCAAAGACTCCAAGATTTTAGGATGAGTTTTGTTTGACATTAAGCTCTCAGCACCCTCCAGGGCATTTATCCATGTGAGGAGGAGACTGGCCAAAGAGCATTGCCTGGAACGAAAGCTCAGCCGTGTGATGTGGCAGGGGGAGGTCTACTTCCTTGCCCCAGATCAATTAGCTTGAAGATAACATATTTTGCATATGGAAGTTTAGCTATGAAAGCTACCACTGTCTATGCAATGCCATCTCCCACTCCAGGGGATAAAAATATCAAGAAAGCATTCCTCATTACCCACATCCTCCACCAGACAGGTACATTATGCAGGTGATCTACAGGTGGGGGAGGGTGCATGTGTGGGCAGGATGTGTGTGGGAAATCTCTGTACTTTCCTGTCTTTTTTTTTTAAAGATTTATTTATTTATTTATTTATTTATTTATTTATTTATTTATTTATTTATTTATTTATTTATTTATGCAAGCACTGGGTACAGTCAGAAGCGCAGGAGGGTGAGAGAATTCACCAGAGCAGGGAGCAGAGCAGGCAGAAGGACCGAAGTACACTGCTGAGGGGAGCAGCGGGCGACAGGAGAGGTCTGCGCGCCATGTGGGACCCTCCTCTGGTGGCCGGGGAGCAGCCAGGGATTGAACCGGTGCCGCAGAGGCCGCGGGCAGCTTCGCAACCCAGCGCTCAACCCTTGCGCCACTGGGGAGGCCCACTTTCCTCTGTCTTGCACCCTTCCTTACCCACATATCTTGTGGAACAGGCCAGGTCTGCTCTTCAGCCTGCAGCTATTCTAGCCACTAGATGCACTAGGTCCCTATCCCCAGTACAGAGGCAGCTCACCTCCCAGCAGGAGGTGGCGGGGGAAGGGGTTTGGGAGGGGGCAGGCAGTAGAGCTCACCACTTTGTTCACCGGAGAAAGCCTGATTCCACCTGAACCCTGGTGAAGTTCACATTATCTAGTTTGTATTCTGTAAGATTATTTTGTTGGCACTTGAGAACCCTAGAGAACAAGCTGCCCTTCTGAAAAACATATCCACTGCAGACTGCCCATATTTCACATCCAGCTCTTAGTTATGAACCACATTTCTTTCAGCTACACTCCAAATGCTCACGCCACTCCCACATTCACCTCATCAATATGGATGAAGAGCTCAATCCCACCGTGTGGCTGTCGCTGCAGTTGCTGGGACCCTCTCCCTTCTGCTGAGTCTCTCCTTTCTGTCTGTGAATGGAGAGTGAGCAGTGTAACTGACAGCAGTAGTGCCAGAGGGGATGTTATATAAAAAACATAAACAGAAGAGGTCCTTTGGCATATCTTTTTAATTGGGAGAAAATATAGTCTTTGAGTAACAATATTCGCTACATTTCCCTAAATATAGTGCGTTTTTTTAAAAACCAGAGGACCAACACATTTATGGCAAAGTGTATGGGTGTTAAATCTCAAGTATCCTCAAGTTAGATGTTAAACCTCTATGATGCACCATAGTACCATCTAGAACCTGAAGACTTCGTGCTGCTGAAGAATTAAATTGCAATAAAATACACCAATTCCTAAGTCACATAGTTTTCTTTGGCCCTCCGCCTTTTAAAGGTGAGAAACAGGATTAAAACCCACAACTGAAGCCTTGCCATAGGTCTCCATAGGGGAGGAAGAGGCTTTCCACCACTCTCAGGGTCTGAAAATTAAACTGACAAAGAAAGATTGGCAGGAGAAAACTGCAAAATGTTTAATATCTTTTACATGACATGGGAGACTTCATAAGAAAATAGGGCCCTGAACAAAGTTAGACCTGAGCATCTTTGTGCTAGTTTGAAGGAGAGAGGCTCGCCACAGGGGACCCTGATAGGCTGAGGTATGTGAGGTCACTGTGATCAACTGGGGTGTAGTGGCAGGATAGGCAGGTTTTCTAAGACCCGAGCAGATGGGTGAAGGAGGAGTCCTGGAGCCCTCTGTGGCTTTTCCAGGCTTTTATTGGGATTTTACCAGGTACACGGCAGGCAGGGATGCCGGGGGGCTGGGAGGCTTGCAGGTTTTCCAGCCCCCAGGAATCTTCACTCTTTGCTGGCTTTCTCTCTGGCTTTCTGGCTTTCTGGCTTTCTGGCTTTCGCTGGCTTTTCTGGGCTCTCTGGCTTTCTCTCATGGCCTCTGCTTCACTGCTGGTTCTCTTCATGGTCTCTAACTTGTTCTTCTGGTCTCTCTTTTGCTCTGTTGGCGTCCCCATGACACCACCCTTATAAGCAGTCTTAGCCCAGGTGTATCCCACCTATATATGCCCACACCCCACTCCAGGTGCCCGCCATCAGGCATGCATTCGGGACTGCAGGGATCCATCATCAATCCTAATGGTGGCAGGGCAGAAAAGACTGATAACCATTTACCCTACATTGGGGGGCCTTCTTGTTCAGAAATAAGGAGGCTTCTAGACTCCCAGGATGGATTTTGAGCTGTTTCAGGGGACAAGGGTGAGATGGGGAGGAAGTCAGAATCACCTCCAGCTTTGAATATTTAGTATGCCAAGGTACCATACTTTGGGTAACAGTGTCCTGAACCCCAACATTAATATAACTCATGCATAAGAATTTGTGCACAAAATATTTACTAAATTTTATGAGGTGAAAAGGTCCTTAGCTATTCTCCTTCAATAACTTCCCCCCTTCCCCCCACCCTATTTTTTAAATTCTACATTTTGATGTATGTGAGGGGGTGAGGGGTGAGGGCGCCACACTTGACTAAATGTCAAGTTGACTTAAGTGCCTCTGTTTCTGTGGGCAGAAGCCCCACTTGGGCGGGCTCCACTCTGTGGAGTGTTTTTCTGTCGTTCTTAAAAGGAGAACAACAAAGATGCAAATTGCCGAGCCAGCCCTGGGAGCTGGGCACAAAGAGACAATTCAGGAGGATGAGTGTGCGGGGAGCTGAGGGGGGGCAAGGAGGGGCGAAGGCTGGACGAGTTCTTCAGCTTCTTTCTTCTGCCTTTTGTGAGCAGATTTATTGGGCTTGTTAAAGACTAAGGGGGCACTGGGAGACCTGCGGGCTCCTGCGCCCGGGAGACCCTTCAGAATTCTAAATTCCAGGCATCTTGCCGCTCTCTCCTTTCTGGGATTCCCTGTGAATGCTGCACATGGGCTGCCTAGAAAAATCAGAAATGAATCACATCTTTGTTCAAGGTGGCTGGAATGTGACAGTACGTGACACAGGCAGGTAAAAGTCACAGCTCCTGGGGGCTGACATGACCTCCTGGCCTCGCACCTCCCAGCCCATTCCTCACCCTCACCCAGGAACCCCATTTTCTTACCTCCTGTTCAGCAATCCTGAACCTGAACTGTGCTTCCCTACAGCAGTTCCCACCCAGGCCCAGGCCTGGTGAAGATGCTGCTGCTGCTTTGGGCATTTTCTCCAGACCTCAAGGAAGCCTTCAGGTGGGTTTTGATTCAGGTGGAGGCAGAGCAGGCCTGGCAGAGGCCTGGGTTCTGGTTCTGGTCCTAATTGGCATTGTGGCTCTGGGAAAGTCACTCACCTGTTCTGGGCCTCACTTACCTCTTCTGTAAAATGAAGGGGATGGACTGTGGGCCTTTGGGGCCCTGTCCTGCTCCACAGTGGAAACCTCGGTGGCTCTAATTGCCTCATTAGAACACCAGGGAATGTCTTTCTAGCAATTGTCTTCCTGGCCCCTGTCTTACCCACTGCCTACTGGGCTGCCTCCAAGGAAACAAAAGCAGCTGCTCCCTCTGGGGTTTCCTCTGTCCTCCAGCCCTTGACAGCACGTGTGTGCCGGCGTTCTCTGTCTCATTTCCTCACTCGTTCCGAGGTCCATTTCTGGGGGTGGGGGTACGTCGCCCCTTTTGAGGCTAGTTCTTTCTCCTTTTTGCTCCTTTGACTAGCATAACTGGGCTTTATCCAGGGTGAGAGGGAAGTTTTCTTTATTACTCTCCACCTTGCACATAGGCACTTTCCAAATTGCCCTGTGCATTGTTGCCATGGGTGTGTGCTCAGTATCCAGGTGAAAACTGAAATGGCTCAGAGGCTAGTGACAGCGAATGGCCAGAGAAGGTCAGTCTCCCAGAACCTTCCCCTGAGAAGTACACATTCAAATTTAGCAGCTGCCCTTAAGAAATCATCTTTTTGCTAAAACC